TCTGGAGATGTCCAACCCGCCTGGATGCCCCCTGTGCCCCGTGCTCTGGGTGTCCCTGCAGGGGCAGGGGTTGCACTGGATGATCCCTAGAGGTCCCTGCCACCTCAACTGTTCTGGGATTCTGTGAGGGACAAAGGGCTCCTGTTTCACGTCCTCCCCTTCCCTTCTCACAGCTTACAGAGACCAATCCGCTCTGATTCAGTACATTTATTATCAAAGAGTGCAAGAGATTACGACAAATCAACCCACTTGATGTCTCAGGTCCTTGGGGTCCCAGGCGCGCAGTGGGAACTGTGGAGCAAACGCTGCGTGCTTCCTACCCCGCTGATCCTTGGTTCCTGGCGTGGTCTTGGCCGCTTGCACATTCCTGTTCCATTACACAGTTCATATCTGTCTGTCTTGATAGCAGAAACACTAAGATAATTCACTGTCACTGGCTGCAGAAGCTGCATAATATCTAAATTAGTCATACAAGGGCTCTCAGCAAGTAGCAATTCACAAAAGCTGTTGGCTTGATTGAGATCTAGGGGCAAAATTAGCAAAGCCTGAGGAGCAACGAGTCATGGAAGCCTGGGTACATCTTAACATGTGAAATACACCTAATTGACATGAGTTAAAACTAAGTCTGCACAGGCTGATGGAATTAACTGCTTTAGCAAATTCAAAGATAGAAAGCACTTGATTATATATAAATGAAAAATAAGCCCCCAAAAATACAGAGTTGCAGAGGTTCCCACAACTGTGAAACTGTTTCAGATATCACAGTTGTGTTTTAAGTAAGAAAAGTATTTGCTGCAGAGAAGGTATTTTTGGCAGTGCCATTTTCCTGTAACAGCTGAATAGACTGGTACTTTCTGATGCCATCTTTGCTCTTCACCTGGCCTCAATCTTGGCTTTATGACTGTTTGCTGCACTAAGGCTTTTCTTTTTGCTCTTACAGAAAGCTGAGTTTCATGTTTGTGTCAAGAAGGGAAGAAAACTCTGACTTGCTCATGAAGCAACAGAACTGAGCAGGAGTAAGGGGCAGGAGCAGCGCCCCTTATTTCACCCTCTTTACACTCTCAGCAGTTAGGTTATTTTGCCTGACTAGAGGACAAGATTATAATATTTGTGAGTATATATGCATTGCCTTCTTCCAAACTGCAGAACACTTGCAGCTCTTCCTTCACAGCAGCTGAGTCTAAAATTTCTCCAGCTGTGAGAGTGCTTCCTGCTTTGTAATTCTCTTCCATGTGTTAGGAATTTCTCCTTTGCCTTGAAATTTGCCATTGTGCATTTTTTCCAGCTGTGTCCTGAAATGACACACAAACCATTTCCAGTACACTTCCACAGATGTATCTGGTTGAATGTTCCAAGCAGAATAAGGAGGCCCTGCTTCCCGGTATTTCTTGTAAGGAATCCATTTGTTTTCACCAACACTGAATACGCATTCACTTGCCACACTACTGGAACAAATGTCAATCACGAGATTGTCTGTTTTATACCACTTGTATCCGATCAAAACTTTGGGACGGTGGAAAACAAGCTGATGGTCTCCATCGTGCTTGAACAAAGTGTTTGTGCAAACAGCCCCGCAAAAGGGACACTGCTCCCAGCACCCTGCAAACTGCTCAGCGAGGATGGTGTGTGGCTGCCGCCCAAAGGAGCTCATGTCAGCGTTGGCAAACCCCTGCCTAAGCTCATCATGCAGGGGAGCCAGGGCTTCTGTCACGGCATCATTCAGGAACTCTATGTCTGTTACCTTCAGATGCTCAATACTTTTCAGGTCCTTTCTGGGCAGGTTTAGCACCTCTTTAAGACTGCTGCAGAACTCATCCAGCCAAAGGGAGATTTTGTCGTTTCTATCATTTCTATCTTTGACAACTCTGGTTGAGGTAAAAACAGCCGACTGAATGTTTTCATAGTAGTGGGTAAGGGAGTCATTTAAGAACATCTCCAGCCTCCTGTTCTTATCTAAACAGTACTCATCAACAAGTTTCTTGATATATTCTTGAAAAAAGTCTCTTGGGGAATAAAGGTAGCGATTGAATTTCTCAAAACTTTCCTCTTGTGCCAGGTGTTTCAATATGCAGACCTCCAGCTGAGCTCGATTGCCACTAAAATCTTGGACTTTAATCCTCATGTCTCTAGCTATGGTAATAGCTGTCTTCTCATAGACTGCCTGGCAAAGTGCTGGAGAAATCTTACTGCACAAAAAGTCAGTGAATGTTGTGATAGAAGTTGCTCCTTGACAGGAAATCTGGAAACCCTTGAAGAAATCTTCTCTCTTACTTTGTAGGTAGATGGATGGATCGTTTGCCCTTTTGAATGCTGCATGCATGTCCTTAAACCTTTCCGCTGCCATTGTGCACAGATACAGTGATAAATCTATTTTGTAATCTTTTTTAAAACTGTATTTTGCACTGCTAGGGACAGAGTCTATGCCTTTCTGTACTTCATTCAGGATTTCATGAAAAAAATTTCGACTGTAATCCATTTTGTCCTTCTCTTTCTTATCAATCTTTGCCATCACCCCCGCTATGATGTTATCTGTAATGTGATGCACGTGCTTCACCTCAGCATCACCTAAACTGGTATGCCAGACGCCCCAAAGTTTTTTCTTAATGACATGTTTCTTCAAGTCGACAGAAAAAGGCTGTTGTTTGGAAAATAACTTGATTCTTGCAGCTAGATTAGGCTCCTTGAAATGTTCTAGAAGGACATCTTCAAAATCCACATCAATATGAACCTCTTCTATAGGTGGAACAACAGAGGACACTTCAGTAACCCAGGCAACCCAGAGACTATCAAAGCTCTTTCTTAGTTGTTCTTCACTTAATTCCTGGCCTTTTAGAGACAGAGCCAACATCCTGCTCCTTTCCAGGAGCTCATTTTCATAGTCTGACTTCCTGACATCCAGTTTACTCTGTTTCTTCTTTAATTCAATAAATTTCTCGCATTTCCTTCTGGTTTCAGCAAGAAGTGACTCTTTCAGTTCCTTCAGCTTCATTTCAGTGCTGGATTTCCACTGGATCAGTATCTCACAGTCTTTGTCCTCACTGAAAAATGTTTCCAGGTCTTTCATGATGTCATCATTCTTCTCCTGCACTAGTTTTTCAAGGTGTTCTGTGGTGACCGTCTGCAATTCCCCATTACGAATTCTATTGTCCAGTTTCATTTGCAAATCCAGGATGTGACTTCTCAGCTGCCAGGTCCACTGGCTAAATGCTGTTTCCAGTTTATTGTACGCGGCAATCTCCACAGAATTCTTGAAGCTAAAAATAAAATTTTCATTCAGCAAAGCATTCCACAGGTCCTCAAGACGCACTTTCAAGCTTGAGAACCTTAAAATTCTGCCCTGCGATTCCTTCTTGGCAGCCTGGAGAATTTTGCTCTTGAGCTCCTGCACGTTTTGGCTGTAAGCGGGGTTGGGAGGCGCCATCGGTGGGTTTCCTTCCCAAAGATGGGCAAAGTAATGAACGTGGGTGTTGACATCAAAGCGAATGACGTCGCTGAAGCAGGTGGCATC